ATCTCTATATCTCTCTCTCTCTCTCTCTCTCTCCCTCTCTCCCCTCTCCCTCTCCTCTCTCTCTCTCTCTATCTCTCTCTCTCTCTCTCTCTCTCTCTCTTCTCTCTCTCTTCTCTCTCTCCTCCCCGTTCTCACCTTGGTATCGATGAGCGCCGGCCGGTCCAGCCACCTGGGTGCGTTTCCGAGGCGTCAACATGTTCTTCATTGTCCAGACCCTTCTCGATGGAGCCGAACACCTTCCGTCCCGAGATGGGCGTCCGGGGCACCGCGGAGGACTTGGAGCCGCAATCTGGTGTGCGGAAATTCTCCGACTGCGGGCGCGGCCTGTCCAGGGGGGGGGGGGGGAGGCAGGGGGTCAGTGGGGCCACGGGGTGGGTAGTCAGGTAGGTAGTGATGGGGCGGATAGGGAGAAAAGTAAAAATATCGGTGCAATATAGCTACATGTGGGTGATAGTCGAGGGCAAACCAATGCATTTCATGGCAAATTTCGAGCGGAATACCTAAGAAAAAAAACTGAAGAAATGTGAAGTTGAAACAATGACCTTAAAAAGTGAAATAGGCGGTAATCAGAGTTAACGAACACTCCAGTTGCAAACGAGTCACAAAATATGACACGAAAAACGGAAAAAGATGGTACCGGAAGAGGGGAGTAAAGAACACAGCAATGCCAAATGCTCGATCGTCCCATTATATTTCAGGCGTCTGTTTCATTACCGCCATATCGGCAAATAATCCTCGGAGCCACCGATGTGCGCCCGGCGCCTACGACAGTACCATGTCGGACTACGTGTCAGACCCCCGCCCAGTCCGAGGGCCACCCACCTCCTCTGTGGCGTCTTGAAGGCGGGGTCGAGGGCTGACTCCACCGACCGGGACGGAGACAGCTTACACGGCGTCTCTGTGAGGGGATGAGAGACGAGATAGTGGTCAGTTGCGTCTCTGGGTTTCAGATAGAGGCACCACAGGCAAAGGTCCAATGAGGGAATGGTAGCTCATCAAAACACACGTAAGAACGAGCGTACAAAACTCACTAGACGGCGAAAACATTTGATGAAATGTCAGCAAATAGGAGGCAGGTGGCAGCACAAATATTATCCAGCAGTGCCGTACGATTCCGCGAATCGATAATTAAATGAACATCAGTTTTACACAAGCGCAGCCTAAACGAGCCAGCTCACGCTATGGGCATCCATAACATAATATCCCCTCCCCAAAGTACCAAACCTCCCACTTCACCCCCCCCCCCCCAGCGGCGCCCCCTCACCACCGGCGCGTCGCTTGGTCTTTTTGCTGGGTGACGGCGCCTTGGGCTGCAGAAAGTCGTTCTCCTTGTTCTCAGTCGGCGAGGGTCGGGGCGGTGTGGCTCGTTTCCTCCGCTGACTGCCCCGGCCACGCTGGGAGCCGCGGCCGGTGCTGCGCTCCAGCAGTGGCTCCATCTCTGGAGAGATGACACAACTAACGGTCAGAGGCGGCGGCGATACGATAAGGAAGGCAGAGAATCTCTACTCTGGTATCTGATACCCTGGCTTACAGAGAGGCTGAGACGATTCGAACTCAGTCTAGGTTGGTTGGTGTAGATTTAAAACCTGTTGTAATCGAGCCACTCGATGCATTCATTTATGAAATAATGACGCTAGGTGTAAAGAAGCTACCATGACTATTTTCTTTCGTCTCATTCGTCACATAGTTTTAGTTACGGAAGGCGAACCAAATAACCGACTACCGCTCCACAATCTCATGGACAGGACCATCACTTCCAGTCCTCCTTTCCTCATATCTTCCTCCTCAGACCTCAGACCTCAGCCCCTCACCTTCCCCATCTCCCCGATGGGTCTCAGAGGTCCCCACCCCGCTCCCCGATGGGTCTCTCAGAGGGCCCCTACCGTATCGTTTCACCAATGGGTTTTAGATTGCCCCCGCCCCCTCTCTCCCGCAGACCATCTCACCGATGGGTCTCAGAGGTAAGGTTCCACCCCCGCTCTCTCACCGATGGGTTTGAGGCTGAGGAGCGTCTCCATGGCCTCCTCCTCCTCCTGTTCCTGACGGCGGCGCTGGTCCAGCTCCAGCTCCAGGCCCCGGCGCTGCTCCAGCGCGTCCAGCGCCGTGTCCAGCGACTGTGGCCGCCCGTGCGGGGAGTCCCCCAGCGGCACCAGACCGGGCAGACCGGCGGAAGTGAGCTCCTGGAGGGTGGCGCGGCCGGCCGCGGCAGACGGAGGAGGCGGAGGCATCTGGAGGGGAGAAGGAGGGGGTCAGAACTGGCAGACAAAGCCTGTGTAGTGTCCTGTAGCCTGCAGCCTGTAGTATAGACAGCGGGTGTAGAGTGAGAGTCGAGTCGGTGTCGTAAAACGGCATCGAGCGTCACAGCAAGGTTCGAGCGGGACCTAAATAGCGATACAAGGCTGTTGAAATAGGGATACAAAAATGCGAGTGTGACATCTAGTCCATCACGGCTTCCCAATGACGTGATTTATAGCCAGCAATGCCGTTTTATTTTTATTTCCCACGTCACTCTCAATCTCCTTCTCTCCTCTCATCTGCTGCGTCACCTGTGTCAGTCTCTCTCTCTCTCTCTCTCTCTCTCTCTCTCTCTCTCTCTCTCTCTCTCTCTCTCTCTCTCTCTCTCTCTCTCTCTCTCTCTCTCTCTCCCTCCCTCTGACCTGCTGCGCCGCAGCCAGTCTGACGGGCTCCCCTCGTCGTTTGGCGGCCAGCAGCAGCCAGTAGGTGGCAGTGGTGTGATCATAACTCCACTGGGAGAGACGGCGCGCCATCCAGGCGCGGCTGCGGCCCCCGGAGACCGCCATCGCCGTCACCACGTCCTCGTCCGGCTGACGTGACTGAGAGGGGGGGGGGGGGGTCAGTTGGCGGCGTTAGAGGCGTCAATTCGTACACAAAGCTCTAATAACAAAGCCTCGGGGATAATCAATACCTGACGAGCTGCATCTCTGATGACACTGTTTGGGTTTTAGAATAGTTCGAAACATTCGAACTCCATCGACCACCGGCGACTAGAAAACAGCGTATCTGAAGCGGGGCTCACATCACCATGTAATAGAGCTGAGCACACCAAAACACACCTAGGGAAGCCGCTTTTCCACGTCCCAACGGGATGGTTTTCAGCGATAACCCAAGGGAATGTCACACTTGGGCAATATTCACACCCTGAAAATAGGGTAGTAGCTACCCGTAACCGGATAGCTACATGTCTATCCACTCATAATGTGTTGGTACTTGGTAGTCAGTAGCCACCAGTGGAGGGGTACTACCCACAGTGACGAGTCCGTTACCCGTTCGATAACGGATCAGTACGCACCTGGAAGTAGCTCTTCCACTCGACGGGCAGCCCTGTTCCAGCCGTGAGCCAGGGATGGGTCAGCAGCTCAGAAACCACGATCCGATGTTTGGGTTCCACCTGCAGCATCTGGTCCAGCAGGCGCAGGGAGCCCTCAGACAGCCACTCGGGCTTCTGGTACACACCGGCCTGTACAGAGAGAGCGGGGTCGCGGGTTCAAATCCCAGCACAGCCCTCCGACAGCCACTCGGGCTTCTGGTACACACCGGCCTAAGGAAAGAGCGGGGGCGCGGGTTCAAATCCCAAGAATCTTTCAGACAGGACAAGCTTCGGTGACAGGCCAGCCCGTGGCCGCAGGCGGAGACACGCGTTAATCAGTTGTAGGCTCGAATTACAGCAAGCCGTCAGACTGACATGAACACAACAGCCATATAGAAATCCCGACCCACCCGTAACAGGCTCACACAATCCTCGACCCAGTAGCGCTCCACTCTAACCATCATCCTTCACTATCTCACGCCCTACCTGTATTTTCTTGTAGAGGTTGGCAATATTCTCGTCGTCAAAGGGCAGGAAGCCACAGAGCAGGGCGTAGAGCAGCACGCCCATACTCCAGATGTCCGCCTCGGCTCCGAGGTACTGCAGGCCGGAGACCAGCTCGGGCGCCGCGTAGGCCGGCGAGCCGCAGCAGGTCTCCAGGTGGGCCTGCATGCCGCCCTCGGGGTTGGCACAGAGGCCGAAATCGATCAGCTTCAGGCGGTTGTCGTCGTCCAGCAGCAGGTTCTCCTGGGGAGGGGGGGGGGGATCGTGAGGTAGTGGTCTTGTTTGGAGATGGGGGGATTCGGGGTGGAGCAAGTCATTTATCCCGAGCTCTACACAAATATTACGACTGAGACACAAATGATCGTTAGCCGGTTAACGTAACACTTACCGTCCTACGCCGTAACGGATTTGATCAGATATGAGCCTTTTTATACGATGATGCCTCATCAAAAGATCTTTCCCAGATATCGATATCAATTTATAGAACGTCTATGTAACTCTATCGAACCTCTAGCAGCCCCCCCCCCCTCCCTCAGCGTCCCCATCCCGACCCCTGAGTGCCCTCTGCCTCTGACTTCTGAGTGCCCGTCCCCTCTGAGTGTCAGAGTGTCCCCCCGAGTGCCGGCCGTACCGGCTTGAGGTCGCGGTGGGCGTATCCCTTGTGGTGAATGTAGGCCACGGCCGAGACGATCTGACGGAAAAACACGCGAGCCTCCTCCTCCGTCAGACGGTCACGCTCCACTGCGAAAAAAAAACAGCAGACGGGGGTGGTTAGAACAAAGACGGTCCCTCTCCACTGCGAACACACATGACAGAACGGGGTGGTTAGAACTTAGATGGTCTCGCTCCACTGAGGGACCACCCCCGTCCCTCTCCACTGAATCTCCACTGAGAAACATAGACAGACGGGGTGGTTAGAACTAAGACGGTCCCGCTCCACTGTGAACAGGCAGAAGAGAACAGACCGGGGGTGGTTAGAACTACAGACTGGCTGCAGGCAAATGTTTGACACGAGTGTTCCAAAATACCTGAAAGATAGGACCCTCAAGTTGTAGATTGTGCCATGCCATCTTATATTTTTTCAGTGTTTACATTTTGAAAATGACCCGAAAACCGGAACATTTTCGCGTGGAGATTTTCGCAAATACACGATTACGATTGTGTTTAACTAAGACGGCCCCTCTCCACTGTAAACAAACATAGACGGACGGGGGTCGTTAGAACGACAGTCTCACTCCACTGTAACAGTGTAGCAAACAGAACTGTGAGGATTAGTGGATCCCGCTCTTCTACGAAAAAGGACACATTGGTCAGGGTTAACGGTCCTCTCCACTTTAATGCGGACGGGGGAAGGTTACACGTTCCCTCTGCAATAAAAAAACGGACGGGGAGGGGGAGGGCGTTGTCTCAAACATAGACGATAGAACAAAAGAGATTGTTAGACGGTTCATCTCCATCGAAAGGACGGACGGGGACGGGGTTAGACGGTCCTTCTCCAGTATCCACTGTATAACAAGGGCTAAACAGACGGCGAGGGATAGACGGTATAAGGAGGCGGCACTGGATATTTGCCGATCATTGCCACACCCTTCCAGTTCCCGGCCGGTCGTTAGGAGAGTGAACGGTAAATGACACTGGGCATCTAGTACACCGCAGTAGCCGTTCCTACAGCTGATCGGTCACCTCCCCGTCCTCCCCCGTCCAGAGCCGGCCGGGCCCGGGCCCGCGCGTGCTCACCGATATAGTCGAACAGCTCGCCGCCGCGGCAGTACTCCATGACGAGGAAGATCTTCAGCTCGCTGTCCAGCACCTGGTACAGCTTGCCGATGTGCTGGTGGGTCAGCTCCTTCATGGCCGTGATCTCCAGGTAGACGCGCGGCAGATCCACCTGAAGGTGTGGGGGGGGGGGGGGGTCAGCGGGGAGGGGGATGTGACGACGGGCGAGCGAGCAGATAGGTACGGGGATTTTGGAGAGATGGTGAATCCGGCGTTTTTACGTTTTTAGCCTTAATTCTCTCCAATACTTCCACCAATTGACTGATGATCTAAACAAGATACCTAATCTTTATTACATATACCGACAACCGCGGTACACATGTCACTAAGTCGAGGCTTACTTCGAAGACCGGTCAAGTTCTATCCACGCAACGGCGAGCGAGTTACGGGACGGCGTGGTCGTGGCATTAGCCGGCGGCTTCCCAGCCCAGCTGAGCCGTCTGGCCATGGATGAAGGGTTCTTTCATCCATGGTCTGGCTATGCCCTATAGGGGGGGGGAGGGAAGGGGGGACCAACGACGACGACGAAAACTGGTCACCGACTTTATCCGACCTTATCTGATCATGATCTATGCCTGCAGGCCACTATATAGAAAATGACGAGAAAAGTGAGCCGGAATGGCTCAAACAGACACCACACAAACTGTTTTGGTGCTAACGGTTTATTCTCACCAACACCAGTGGTCGGCTCATGTGACGGACACTTCCCCAGCCACATTTTACGCTAGGCACACAGCAATCCCCCCTGCTCACCCCGAGCTGCTTCTTGTCCATGATCTTGATGGCCACCTGCTCTCCCGTGGCCAGGTGGGTGGCCCGCTTCACCTTGGCGAAGCCGCCCGAACCGATTGTCTCGTGGAGCTCATAGAGGCCCTCCAGCGGCGCATAAGGCGAGCCCACGTTCTCTGGCATGGTGGCGGTGGTGTGACGTCACCTGGGGAAAGAGGCGAGGTCAGTCAGAGGGCTGCGAGGTCACAGGGCGTGGTGAGGTCGGGGAGCAGTGAGGTCATGAAGGGAAATTTAACCTAAGCCAAAGTGGGTGAGGTAGGAGAAGGAAGAGAGCAAGCTAGAGATTGAGTGAGGGGAGAGCAACAGATACCTTCGGAACTAGCTTTGAACGGAAACTTTAAGTAAATATATTTGAATTTAAAAACAGTAAGGTGAGAAATCATTGGGCACGAATGTGCATGTTGAATCTGAGCCATAAGAAATTAAGCATTTGGCCTATGCCAATTGAATCAACTGATAAAATGCATTTTCCTACACACCTACCTTCTCCCCTGGTGCTTCTAGGAAATCAAAAACCTCTGAGGCCAGAAATTTAAGAAAACGTGACCTTTGACAACAGAAGCTAGCACTGAAAAGACGCAAAACACCACCTAACTAAAAAACAAATATTTTATCCGTATGTTTTGTCGCGCGATTTCAAAACCCCACACCGCATTTTCTCGGCAACAGCTGATCGATTCAAATTTGCCACCTGAAATATGGTACCATATCCCTTTCTCGGGAAAGTAGAAAAATTGTTTGATCGAAATATTTATAAATTTCTTTGATAACATCAAAATTAATCCAAAATCGTTTTTGTATTCGTAAAATAAATAATACAGCATACTAACAAGCTTTAAGAAATTTAAATTATCAAATTTTGAAAGAGAAAACTCTTCACCTTGAAGTTTTCCCTTCAGTAGTGTGCGCCAGTTTTGAAATTTCTTAGTACAACTGCGCCACATATCACGCTGCTCGAATCAATACGCGCGTTTTAACATAATTTCATTTGATTTTGCTCCGCACAATAGGTGAGGCTTTCTTGCGTGTATTTGACATTTTCATAGCTTAGATTCAATGCTTATTAAGTACCTTAAATTACACATGAGACTTACATTCCCTTCTTAAATAGCACAATATGTTGTATCTGTTCTTTGGTCGTGTCTATTACCTACTTATTTTGATTTAATTTGATTTTGATATGGCTTTAGATAATTAGATGTGGTTTTTATTTTTATTTCGCGTTTTTGTGTGCTTTTTGTCATGTTAATGATGTGTTATATAACTTGTGATACCGTAAAATGGGGTGTTAAGGGAAAGTTTTGAGGTGTTTTGTTATATAACTCAAGAAGGGTTGGGGATAGAAGCATCAACTTGTCAGCATTTTATGTGGAATTTGGTGCTTTACATGCCTGCTACATTAAAGTTTTAAAAATATATACATGCATATTATTTTTTATTATTTTTCATCGCTGTCCCTTAGCACCCCAATGCGGGGTGTTAAGGGACACCTATATTATTCCAAGAAATGGTCATCAAATGCCCACAATTGGGGTGTGAATTGTGAAAGGGCACACAATTTATTTATTGAAATGTTTTGCATACTCTGTCACAAAACAAGTCAGGTTCATTCACCACTAATGGCCTAAGAAGCATCAACTTGTCAGTAAACTGCCAATTACATGTAATGCAGTTTACACTTCTGGAAAATGTGCTAACTATGAGGCAAATAGAACCAAAAAGTACCCTTCTGTCATCAACAGAAACCCATTTTGAAGCTAGTCACTTGTCATTATGTTGCCCTCTTTGTTTTGGCCTTTTTATGATGACATCACATTTAGGTACCTACATCAGTCTTCATTGGCCCATCATTGTAAAAGATAGTGTTAAGGGAGTTTTGAGGTGTTTTGTTATATAACTTAAGATGTGTTAGAGATGAAAGCATGAACTAGCCAGCATTTTATGTGGAATTTGGTGTTTTCCATGCCTACTGAAAGAAAACTTTATGAAATTATATTTATATATTATTTTTTATTTTTTCTTCCCTGTCCCTTAGCACCCCACATCCACCTCAAAATATGCATGTGTCCAGAAAAGAGGAAGAGGATGATGAATGAATGGGTGGATTTGTATAAGATTTTCAGGAAACATGTGCAATACATGTGACAATACACTTATGCATTCATTTTACCTGTACACCTTCTAGTTTATGTGGTACACACAGAGTTTTGGAGATGTCTCAATTTTGTGAAAATGTAGCATGATTTTCAAAACCATTTTTGAACCAAATCACTTGCAGGAAAAATCATGCCATTTTGTCTTTTAGTCAAGAACAAAACAGTGTCAACTACCACACTCAAGTTTTTATTTAACCTTCTCAAATTAGGAACTTAACATGACTCAAAGTTTTTCCCACGCAACTGTCCCTTATCACCCCACTGTCCCTTAACACCCCATTTTACGGTACACTGTCATAATTTGTTTGTTGAGCCACAAATGATGATGAAAAGTTAATTTTGATCTCTGCATTGAAACCAAGCCAAACCTAACCAACCCTCTCCTAACCTTACCTACAACCAAGCCTTCAACCTACAACCCAAAACCTAAAACCTACAACCTAACCTACAGCACCTCGTCCCCACCCGGCCTTGGAAAAAAACAAGTGTGACTTGTGACACCTGCTTTACTACTGCCATGGATTCTTGTTATAAGTTAATTCTTTTTTTTAGTTCATTTCAGGTATAGTTTCTCTAATCATAGCCTAAGAGTAAGTTGTGCATATTTCATAAGTCTCAAGTGTAATGCTTGTAACTCCCTGTGTCCCCTCCCAGGCTGCCTGGTATGTCGTCTCGGCGAGTCTCGGCCCGGCGCCGGCCGGTGCCGCGGCTTTCCGACAGTCCCGTGACGGGTCACGTGCCGCCGGCGACGCTCCACCATGACGCGGACGGCCGTTACTGCGTCACGGAGCGGCTGCAGCCGTCACTAACAGCCGGCGGAGGCGGTGTGACGGACGGAACTCTTGGGAAGAGCCCGGGGGAGAGAGGAGGAACCTCAGCGCAGCCGGAGCAGAGACGCAACACGGACACCACGCCTCTGAGCCGGCGCGCTGTAACTACCACACCCTCAGGATCTGGGGTCAATAAGGGCGCGAATACCACCCCACAACACGCCCCCGTCAGTGGTACGAGCCGGCAGACCGACAGCGCCAGCTCGGGCGTGCGCAGTCTGACGCTAGCTCTGAGCGACCACGGGAGTTCCCCCGAGATCGGTGCACATCGCTCGACCTCCGACACACCTCCGGGCCGGCCTCCGGGCACCTCCGGACCCGCTCCGGCCCGGTCCGGACCTCCGGACGCCGCGCCCGGCGCGTTCGACAGCGACGAGGATGACATCTTCGAGTCGGACCTGCGCGGCCGGATCAGTGACGTCATCACGCTGCTGCGCGGAGACACGGACCTGAGTGCTGATGACGGCAGCGCGTACGGCGGGGGAGGACGGGTGCCGAATGGTGTCGCCGGCAGCAGCGGCGCCGGAGGGGCCAGCGGGGACGCGGAGGATGGTACCGAGCCGCTCCGACCCAAACGCGTCCTGGACTTTGAGTTGGTGACGGACGCCGGGAGCGGCGCCGAGGACCGCGGCGTGGCTCGCGCGCCACCGCTTCCCGCCGGCGCGCCGCCGTGCCGCCTGCCGCCGGCGCACGTGACGGCCGACACGTCTGTGGCAGCGCGCGCGCGCCACGTGGTCGGCCGCCGGCCGGGCGAGCGCGTGCTCTCTGAGCTGGCCGAGCTGGCGCGCTCCCCGGGCTCGCCGTTGGTCCGTCAGAAGGCGCGCAGTCGGGTCAGGGCTGGCGCGCGCTCAGTGACTCCCCAGGGCAGAGCGGTGGGAGGACCGGCGAGAGGGGAGGTGACCCCCGTGTCTGCCAGGAGGCGAGGCGAGACCGCGCAGCTGGGGGAGGGCAGAGCTCCCCTGGCTGAGAGGGAACTCAACGGACAGGTGCCCGGTCCACCGGAGCCGTGGAAATCCCCGACCGGACCGCGGAAGGCGACTGGAAGTGTCGTGTCTCCGGTCGTCCCGATCAGACACTGCCCAGAGGACGCCAATGGTGACGCCAACGGCGGCGACCCAGAGATGGCCGTGGGCTCTCCGCGCGCGCGGCTAAACCCGTTCACATCGACCGGCCGCGAGAACCAGACTCCGCGGACCCGAACGTCGCCTCGGCTGGCGGCGGGCGGCGGTCAGAGCCACCTACCGGCGGCCGCGGCAGGCTGTAGTTCGCCGGCGGCGGGCGGCAGGCAGAGCCACCTACCGGCGGCCGCGGCAGGCTGTAGTTCGCCGGCCGCCGCCAGGGAGGACGAGGATGAGATAGCCTCTACCCAGCCGGCCTCAAAGCTGGTGCTGGATGAGGTGGTGGCCTACGTGGACGTCCGTTCCGGCGCCGATAATAGGTCAGTCAGGGGGCGTCAGTATCAACTGGGCAGTCAGTGAACGTCGGTATAAACTGGGCAGTCAGGGAGCGTCAGTATAAACTGACGCCGATAGCAGATCAGCGTGAATGTATATGCATACGAGTTCATATGTATAACGCAATCACTTACTTTGACTCAGAGGTTCGTCGTCTTTATTTAGGCCTGGTAAGGCTCGAGCAATATCTTCTTTTTTTGTATTTCTCCATTAACCCGTTGGTGCTGTGCAGTTGTCAGGGATCGGGTTGCAATGGAATTGTCTGACTCCTTGCCTGTATTACCTTCCATCTAAACACTGCACTGACGGTCATTACGTACCCGTGCCGTCACCGCGTCTCTGCGAACCCCGGCAGGTCGGAGCCGATCCGGACCCAACTGCGCGCCCTGGGAGCCCTGGTCGTCGAACGGTTCACCAAAAACGTCACCCACGTCATCTTCAAGGTAACGACGGAAGGTTAGGGGAGCTTCTATCAGGGCCGGGGTGGGGGGCAGCTGGCTGCTAGAGCTGGCGATTAGAGGTACAGTCTACAGCAGAAGTAATGTGTGGTTTCAGTCATGGGTATGTTCTGCTTCTGAAGCCTAGGAACGATTAGCCAGACTGCAACGAGACTTAAAATGTAGCTTACATGTATCTTCACCCTTGCAGCTACAAGTTTATCTATTGACGTCTTCTTTTCAATCACTCTGCATTTGAAAATCGTCAGTCAAAGCCATCCGTTGAGATTGGTACAACCACACATTACTTTAGCGGTGGGCTGTACCGACTGACAGAGAGCTTCTATCAGGGGGGGGGGGGGGGGGGGGCAGGGTGGCGTAGTGGCTGGCTTTTAGAGGTACCGACTGCAGTGGGGAAGGGGAGCTTCTATCAGGGAGGAGGGGGCGGGTTGGGCTGGGTACTGGCGTTTAGAGGGAACGGTGCCTACGGCGGGGGGAGGGGAGGTGCAAGAAGGAAGAGATGTGTGCTGTGTGTGCCGGTGTTGGTAATTGCGTATTGATAGTGCCGGTATTCGGACATTGCTGAGGTCATTGCTGAGGTGCTGAGGTCATTGTTGGGGTCATTGCTGAGGTCATTTTTGGGGTCACAGCCCACAGGTCAGGTCGATACCGAGGTCATTGCTGGGGTCACCGCTGCGGTCACTACTGAGTACTGGGGTCACAGGTTAGGTCGATACCAAGGTCGCCACTGATAGGTCGCACAGGTAGGTTGATAT